TAATATACTGTATGCGATAATCACACTTTTATGCTTATTATATTGCTTAAATTTATTAGAAAAACAAATATTTTATACTAGTTGCCACGTAACTGCAAACAGCGCGTGACATCACGCCTTTCTTACTCAAAGAGAATTAAACTTTATGCATACATAGAACGATATTAGTTTCAGACGACTGTAACGTCATAGCGACGCCATGGCAGAAGTGGCGTTTTCGAGAGAAATTTTGGAAATTAATTTTATTTTAAATTTTAACTAATTATATAAATGATTTCCTGCGAATTCGCCCGCGTTTATGACGCGTATGACGTAGCTTATCGTAGGTGAATGAATTTTTGAAATCGGTCATAATAGTGTAGGAGCTTATACAATGCGAACAACTAATGGTCAAATCGTTATTTTTTATAATATTAATAAAGATATTGTTATACTAAAGTTAACAAATGACAAATGTTGCTCAAATATACTTATAGCTATATTGCTCAGATACTTAATAACATAAACTCAGTTCTGTCAAAAACCAAAAAGTGGTCCTCTTTAAGCTCTTTAAAATTTTTTCTGTAAAAGCTTATTAGTAAATAAATGTGGCGCCAAAAAAGGGTTACGATTTAATTAATATGTTTTATTGTAAGTACTTCAATTTATTTCCATATATTAAAAAAAAAAAATATATTTAAAACGCTATAAGCTCCCCGCAGAAACACCCCCGCCATCGCTTTGGAAGCTCTACGTAGGGAATTTTAGATTCTAGTTTAGTGAACATATATTGGATGTTGGACAGGACGATGGCTTAATATCTAGTTATATACATATATGTATAGACGGTAATTCTTTACTAGTGGATCGAAACACAGCCTTTGTTGCGTCTACTTTTCACAGAGTGTAATACCTAATGTACCTAGAATGTAACAAACTTGAATTATAGTTGCACACAATAGTTTTTTAAGAGACGCTCAAATCTGTTGCCTCGACATTTCGGTAACGCCCAAGGTCAATATAAAATGCGTTTCATTAGGAACTAGACTAGGAACCACCTAATGACATGTCATGACATGTATTACGCGGCGCCTTGCGCTTATCATTTTCTTGATAAGAAAGATCACAAATGTATCAAGAAATAAAAGAAATAATGTTTATTTGGACTTATACTAACCTGCTTAACCTGCTAACCTGTTTCCTAGTTAAGCTATCCCTTGTTCTTGGTTAGCAAAAACGGGTATTTAATATTTTCTTAAGTAGTTTAGTGTAATAATTTATTTACCACTATTAATTTATTGTTTCCACAACAACAAATTCAAAGCTTTTGTTTGAATATCTAGACTTAGACTTACACTACACTACATTATACGTGAATCGCTCACAGCGTAGATTACACGAATCCCCAAATCCTACGTAAACATGTCTTTTAGATGATAACTTCGTTGAATCATGTTCACTAAAGATTTCTGTTTGAACAAACTAAGATCTATTGATATGAACTTTAGGTGTTGAACGAAACAATGCAATCACTCTATAGGGGAAGATTGGCACCATTCGTACACTTTTTAGTCAATGATTTTTAAAATATTGATAATCAAAGATAAATTACTCAATTACTTATTAAAACATAAAGCATACTTTCTGCTCCTTATTTAAAAAGTTCAAAGCCGATATCTTGTATAATATATCAAAGGATTGAATTTTACTAAAAGCTTATGAATGTCCGAGTCTACCCCTATTACGGGGTACAATTGTACATAGGCAGGGGAACATTCAGACAGTGTGGTAACCTCATATATATTAAGTAAAACAACAAATTAATTAAAAAAAATCGTTTTCATTGATCTCAAACTTATCACCGATGTAATCAACTAAACGACATATAGGCTTAGAGTCTAACTATCTTATTTACGAAAACGGTGCATCCATTCTATATCAGCGAAGCCAGTTTCATAAGAATTTTGCAAACATTTATATTTCAAAACTATATCATAATCATTTGATAGTGTTGTGACTTCCAATATCGTGAGTCCGAAATGTGTTTTTGAACTTTTTCATTTGATTGGTCTTTTCAGTAAAACTATTTGTTTTTTACTATTTAAAAACACCTTTTACAGACGCAAAAAAACTCATTTAATGAATTTTGGGAACGTGTCTGCCTTTTCTTCTTAAAATTCCGATTATTTTTTCTAAATTTTCTGATATAATAATAAAAATTGTTAGTACACAGGGGGTTAGGGGGTACATACATACGCGTACGAATGTGCCCTTGCTGGAAATGTACGAACGTGCCCCGAAGGTCAAGAATAAAATTATTTTTTCTAACACAAAACCCACGTAGAAAAATACACAAAATAGATATATTATTATTATCTTAATCGTATTCACTTACGATTAAGCAATAATCCAGTAAAATTTGATGTGTAATTAAAGCACGGAAGATTTACTATGAGCATGCCAAAACACTTTAAGTTCTCTAGTTTCGCTCGCAGTGGCTGCATCTGTGGCTAACTTCGTGGACAATGGCAGTCGCCGGCACCTATCCACTGATGCAAAGTCGTAATAAATAGACTTTTCTACAAGATGTAGTAGTGACTGTATGAAGGTTCCCCGTGTACGAATGGTGCCAAACTTCCCCTACATCGGGTATTTGTTTGCGCTCACATTAAATTGATTTTAGAGTTGTTTTAATAAACGCAATACGATTTTTATCATCTAAAGATGTAAAATCGATATAAATATAATTAGACGTTCGACAGATAAAATAGTTTTTAGTTTGTTTAACTTATTTAGAATGTGATGATAAACCAAGCTGTAGTGAAATCGTCTTTAATAAAATGTTTTTGTAACAGTACTCTAATATTTCATTCTTTCGCCTATGTATAGGTTTTTCATAATAATTCAGAAAAATAAGCTTTTCTTGGATGTATCTTGGATCTGATATCTCGTTTAAACAAATGATACTGGTCCAAAGGCGACAAGTTTGCGACAGGATACTATCTCGGTACAAAGTTATCAAGATGGTCCAAGGGGTTGCCAACTTAAGAGGGTTCCATATCTATCTTCCGAATCATTATGAGATTGAATCCATCCATTATCCATGTCATATTACAATATTAATGCAATGTCATTGCATCCATGTTGTGTGCATGCAAAATAACAGTTGAATAAAAAATCGGGAAATGGGTCACATTCAACTTTTAGATTTTATACATACAAAAATTAAAACCAAGTAAAAGCTCGTAATAAAAATAAAACTTAGATCTTAGGCAGAAGTCAGCGAATCAAAAATCAGCGAATATCTTTTACAGCTTCATATATTCGAGAGACAATATAGGTAATAAGTTATTATCAAATTGAAGTAGCTACCCTGGTGGTTTCATAATGAATATGTCAAGAAAGTAAGTAATGCTTTGTATGAAATCAAGATTAAACATTTTCTAATGGCTGTCATTTACTACTTGGCTGACGTTCATTAGTATTCGATATATTCTAATCAATTTGCAACTGACAACACTTGTTTTTGCATATTTTTTTTTATTATCTGACAAAAGAAATTAGCTGAATTATTTATATGTAAATGAGAATCTTAAAAATTCACTAAACTATTTGTTGAAAATGAAAAGGATTCGTTTGTTTGTGTATTTAGGTCTAAAGGCTTTTTGTTATTCAGATATTCCTACAAAATTTAATCCTATGTAAGGATAATATATAGGATTAAATTTTGTAACGAAAAAACATACTTTCTTTTGTTTTAATAAATTAATACATTACTTTACAGCTGATATTAATTATTTTAAAGACTGATTTAATAATCTTCTTTTAATTTACATTTTTCTTGCAACCCACAAACTGTAAAAAGTAAAAACAGCATCTAAATATGTTGCGTGGTTTTCGCATTATATTTTTATTCAATATGTCACCGAGAAACTACTAAAACTTATACCCATTTCGGATCTAAACGGTTATATGTCTATTTAACCGTTCCGCCTTTTCCTGCATATTGTTACGCGGTTCCGTTTCGTAAACCGCGTACCGTGGAAGTTTATGATATGAATTGCTAAGGAGTTAATAACAAGCTTAATATGTTAAAACCACTTCTTTATTTATACGAGTATATAACTACTTACATGTTCATTGATTGAAAAAAATAAACATATAATAATTATAGTTAATTATCAACATTAACGTTATGATCATCACCACAATAATAAATACGTTTTAAAAGAATGTATATTACGTTTTAAAAAAAAATAGAAAGCCATCAAATTAAAATCTTTTTGAAAATTATCAACACTATGATGATAAAACAAGTATAATATAACAACCAATACGAGCCATGAGCACACATAAATCATATACAGGCATTATAATCCGTTATGCTAATCCGTTAAAAACTTCATGAACTCGACGTCGTGCAGCATTAATAAGTGATATAAGTATATTTATATATAAAAAAAACACTCATCTTAAGAGGCTGACAAATCTGTCGTCATCAATTACCTTTCCAAATACCTAGGATTTATTTGATGGAACTTCTACGTTTTTGCAAAGCTGCGGTCGTTGTCGATTTCGTATTAATTTTCATAACAGAATACAATTGTTCATCATTGAATATTCATTTGTTCATCATCCTCTTCATCACCACCCTATGCACGTCCCCACTGCTGGGACTCGGGCCTTCCCTATGAATATACGGGAATCGAATAGGGAGAATGAGCCATGATCTACCACACGGACCCAGTGTGGATTGGTGAGTATTAACGACTGCAAATGCCACCGGGAACAACGACTTAAAGTGTCTTCTGAAACACGAAGGAGTTCAAGATTATTTAATTTTTAGTCACCCATCCTATCTATGACCGGCCCTTGCGAAGTTTGCTTAACAACCGTATCACAAAGCAAGCGCGCTAACTATTCCACCACTGAGCTTTTGTTTTTATTTATTATCACAAATATCAATCTTGCTCTTTTGTCCTCAGGTGCTGCAATCACGAAATATCCTGAGGGCAAACAAATTGCTCGGCAGCTTCAAACTGGACGTTGCCACAGTGTGGAGTCAGCCGGGTATGTTCCATTAAATATTATCCATCTGACTTAACGGTTGCCACGTTATATTAAAAAAAAGTGTAATATCTCTTAGTATCTCTAATAAAACATCTTTTATAAGTAAATTGCGTTATAGCAGTTATGCTGTATAAAGTAGTAGTTATAATTACATTTGATCAATTTTCCTTTTATAATGGTATACTGAAAAATATTCTTAAATATAAATGCTTCAAAATCCACTTTGTCCACGGCACTCTGAGATGGGACTCGAAATTCGAACTCGAATGACCTTTCGCAATTTGGGCGACTGCTCTACCCACTGAGCTTGCTCTAACCACTGAGCTACCCAGAACCTAAGGGGACTGACTAATTTTCGCAAGCTCTTGTTGCTTTTCTCTACTACAGACCGTATTTTCATCAATGTTCAGACAATTCAATATTTAAACTCGAAGACAATGAAAATGAAATTAAATATCATAGTAATTAAATACCATGAAATGACTTTTAATCATATAATTATACGTATGATCAAGAGTGACAATAAATTTAATAATTGATAATTATTAAAAGGTAGCCTATTTAAGTTTGTAACAGACTTATTTTAGTTATTCGTCACGAAAGAACCTTATACCCTTCGTTTGTGTCAGTTTATCTGATAACAACTTTAAATTGATATTTTTATTATTGCAATATTTTGTTTAATTTTACTATTAGACATGTACTTTAATAATGACGAACAAATCAAAAAGAATTATAATTAGGGACCGTCCATTAATCACGTGATGCTTTTTTTCAACTTTTTGACCCCCCCTCCCCCTTGGTGATACATGGTGAGGTTTAAGACTACCCCCTCCATCCTTCAACCAAATCACATGTGTTTAAAAAAATACAAATATCTTAATTTTTATCGTCGCTTTTCGGTTTAATAAACGCGCGTCGAGGAAAAAATAAATACATGTGATATATTACTACAATGTGATATTTCGTGATTTTTACGAATCCCTCCCCCGGACGGCCCCTTGTGGATTTGACAGCGGTATATTCATTAATAAATGAAAAAGTGGTAAAATGAAATTAAATATCGAAATAACGTTGCTAAGATGTCTTATTCTTTACCAATTCGTCATGGCTAGAGTTGGGCGTTTGCACCCCAGGTCAGTTAACTAACATGAATGTATATTCCTTGTATTTATTTGGATCTGTGCTACTGTGTAGCATTGAAGTTTGAAATAGATGTTTTCACATCATGTTTAGCTTACATAAAATGTTAACGTGTCTCTATGCCAAAAGCAAAGCCAACTTTTATACAAGATTTAACTTTTATTTTTGGATCTTGTTGTATAATAAAAATCTTGTACTCGATATAATTACATAGGTGTACTAATTTTATCTTTTAATAGTGCCATCTTATCTTCTTCTCATTTTACACATGTTAACTTAGTTTCCATGAAAATAATCAAACTTTATACGCACAAATTAATTGGCTCACTTTGAAACTAAAGGTGAAACACAGCCTTTGAATTGTGAACGTAGTCGAGTATTAAAATTGGTTCGTGCCAACAATTCACCTCTGAATATTTTACGTCATTTCGATCTCAATTCGATTCTTGCTATCTCTATAAAGAGCACTAAAAATTTTAGCTTTTTAGTACTCTTTATAGAGATAGCAAGGTTTTCATGTTAGCAATACTGATATCCCTTAAATTTCTCCGCATAACAACATGATTAAATTGTTATGAGTCCAATTACACGTTTTTTTTCTAATGTAATTACACACAAAATCTAGCCAGTTACAATAAATAATAAATTCTGTAGTTACACATCAAATACTAGTTCTTAAATAGTGTTAATCGGTTACATAAAATAATAATTTCATGACATTTAAGTGGCAGTTTTAGATTGCTTTTATCATAACATATTCTTTTTACCCATAGTAGCTTGTTTTTAATATGAACCATAAATTTCGTAACCAAATATACTGATCATTTAACCAAATATAGTTGATCATGTTATAAAGGCTGACCGAGATCCACTTATTAACATACTAAAGTATGAATTCATAATTTGTTACGGTAGCTTATGTACACTAAAATTAAAAAAACTATATTATATCGGCTTGCAAATTACCTATAATAACATAAACCACGAATAGCGAACAGTTAGTTAGTCAACGAAAAATTAAATCTAAATAAACATATTGTTCCATACCAGTCCTAGAATAGAGAAAATTTATGTCCTTACTTTTTTCATCTAGGAAGTAACAGTTCATCGATTCATCGATTATTTTTCTACATAATTGCAATCTTACAATATTCAAAAAATGATTGCCCTTTGTTATTTATATACTTATATTTCTAGGATACTTATCCTTCGTAGTAAATTTTATTATTTTATATCAATTTGGCATTCACAAGTTACGCAATGCGTATTTAAGCACAATGTGATATTAGGTACCAAGACATCTTTAAAAAATTATGTGAAGTTAATATAATCATTCAGTAAAAATATATCATCCATTATATATACAAAATGTTGACTAGAAGAAAAAAAACAGGCAAATAATTTACTTGAAATGAATGAAATTGAGTGTTTTACTATCAACCAGCTTTAACCGCAACTTCGTTACTTTCAGGAGAGATTTACTGGATTAGACCGGATTTACCAGATTCTCATTGCGGGAATTGAGTGATTGATCTTTGTATCTACTTAGGCTATGTCTATTCCTGCCTGCTGAATTGTAGGATTTGTATCTATAAAATTTTATCGCAATCGGATTTTGATAATACTCGTATATTTGTCCAATGGTTGCCTTATGTGTATAAATTTTAAGAGACCTCTTTCTGAAGCTCTTTTTTTTATCTGTGACACTGAGCAAGTGCAGTTCTGGTAAAAAATATAATATTTTTATCAGAATATTTTCTTAACAGAAAATAATGTGAAAGAAAGGAATAACTTAAAATAAAAATATCATAATACAGATGAAAAGATATTTTAGCCATAACTAATCTGTGCAGTTACCAGAATGTCATCAAGTTCATGAGTGACGTGACCAGAATTCAAGGAGATCTGGTCAAATAGCATTTCCGAAACTAATTGCATTCTGATAGGTCACCAAACAATTCAATTGCAGAATGTGTAATTACTGTACATTATATGTACGAGTAAGACAGTATGGTACAGTAAAGTAAAATATAACAAATACGGAACATCTACATTTAAAAACGACAGCAATTCAAAAATAGGTCTCTTGACTTCTTCACACACACCGTTCTTCGGATATTTTGAAGCGTTCGTCTTGGTATTGCGAATGAAATGTAAAACGTTGAAAACATTTATAAATTGTCGTAATGAAAACTAAGTCAATGTTAGGTGGTTAAAAAGTAGATTTTTGCTAATAGGAAAACAGTATACGTAGTTTTTTGCAAGCAATGTTAAAATAAAATTAATTTCGTGTTTCTCATTCTTCTAACATTATAAGATATTTCATTCAAAATGTTGCAATTATGATGTTATTAGCATTAATTATAACAATTGTTTCGATTATTCGCCTCGGCGAGTGCTTGCTTGTTGCCGCCGAAGAAATAAAAATAATATTATATTTAAAAAATCACACCTGTAGCCATTCTGAATAAAATATTCACTATAATTATAACCACCATTACTTGTCAGATCGCCAATTCTACCACAAATGGGCGTTGCTCACTGACCCTGACGACGTGGCCGCTGGTGCGAAAGGATACCTCAAATGTGACATCAGCGTTATAGGTAAAGGCGATACCATCAAGATTCCACCTAAGAGCGAGAAGGACGAAGACGATATTGAAGCGTGAGTACTAATGGCTTTTATTCTTATTTTCATCACGACAGTGATGATCTTTCTTCTTTTGTTGTTCCATTTCTGAGCCCAGGCTTTCTCTGTATATAAAACTAGCTTTTGCCCGCAACTTCGTACGCGTGGTATTATTGTTACTTTGGGTAGTATTTATAAAGCGAATATTTATTCTTTATATCGTGTGAAATACCTGAAATAAAGTTTCAAGATTGTATCTTTGACAATGACAAACTGCCGTAGGGAGACCCGGGCTACCAATTAACGGAGGTAGGTATTAACAAGCAGATTTCTCTAAAACTATACACACTACACATCCAGTGCGTGTTTACATTCGTTAACTAGACCACAGCTCATGTGTACTCAGTTGTACTGAGGTCAGTTGTACTCTGTGTGCCGTGCAAGTGAGTTGTGTGATGGGCGTAATTTTTACGCAGGCAAGGAACATTTTCAATTTTACAATTTTTTGATTTGTACAAGAATGATAATTATGACAACTAAGATTTTTATTTCCCTTATTACAATTTTTATACTCTATAATGCTATCGTATATTGCTTAATTGACGGAACTATTGACGAATGTTTTATTGTCATTTAATGCTCAAAATGTACCTTTGGGGTTATAATTAACAAATCACCGGTATTTTGTTATTACGTTTTGTTTTTTACGTACTTTATAAGGTTTCTTATGTCAGCATGAGAACAAAAAACTAAGCGAGGCACCACGTACTTGAAGGTCCACGAGTTGGTGGCATTAGAAGTGATTGAGAAAAACAGAAACACAGAGATGTAGCAAAAGAATTTGAACTCTGCTACGCATATTTCTAATTAACCAGTAGCTGGACCATCAAGCGTGCAGAAAGGTGCTAGTGATTTCATGTTTGATAAACCAGTAGCTGGGCTATCGGGCATGCAGAAAGGTGCTAGTGATTTCATGGTTGATGAGCCAGTAGCTGGGTCATCGGGCATGCAGAAAGGTGCTAGTGATTTCATGTTTGATGAGCCAGTAGCTGGACCATCAGACATGCAGAAGGTGCTAATGTTTTAACAGTTGAAACCGTAAGACCTCTACCAAAAGCTTTAACACGAGCTCCGTCTAATCGTAAACGGGCAAGAAACTGCTATTCTCACCGACACTTCAGAAAAGAATGCTTTACAACAGATATGGACAACCTTGGGCATGTTGTGGGCCAAACTTTAGTGTGTAAATACTTTCGCGGGCTGCTTTTAAAAGTAGTACATTTTAAAGTAGTGTTTGTAGTGCCCATATTTTTTTGCGATAGATATCAGACATGAAATAATACGACAGTGTTATTATAATATCAATTTATTAAAATAACAAAATGAAATAATAATTAAATCGTTAAATTTGGAATTGTTACAAACTACGAATGTTAAATAATGATACCAAAATCAATGAGTCACTTGAGCTTGAACTTGGGTTACTAATCCATCGATGTTTGGATTAATTTCACTGATACAAAGACGTAAAGAATTTCCCAAATTATCGTCAGTCAGCCTCTTACGATATTTCGATTTATTAACTTTCATCAGTGAAAAGAACTGTTCGCATTTATAAGCACTGCCAAACGCACAAAACAATCTTTTTGCGAATTTTCTAAGCTATGGAAAATGGTCTTCTTCGAGGTATTTTTTGTAAAAATCACACAACTCCACGTCTTCAAATTTAGATTTTAGGAGTGAGTTTTCTTGAATCTCGGTCAACTCCATTTGCAAGTCTATTTTAGCATTTTGTACACTAATTTTTGTTGGAGTAGCAAATTGAAACAGTCTTCTATGTTTCTGAAATCGCTAAATCTGTTCGAAAATTGCTCTGTCAGTACCTTGAGTTCTTCAGCATAAGCAATATTCTTACACGCAGAGAGCTTGGTGTAATGGTAACTGTTTCCAGACAGCATCTGTGCCTCACACAAGCGTTAACTCACATTAACTAACTGTTCTTGTTTTTGAAGTTTCAAATTTAATCATTCATGTAGCCAGTAAGATCGACCAGAAATGCCGACAGCTTACCTCGGGATCGAATAAAATTAATGGTTTTTACTGCCACATTCATAACATTTTGGAATCGAATGGACTTAGAACACAAGTTCTGTTGGTGGATAATGCAGTGAAGGACTATCAAATCATCTTTTTGCAAATTTAATTCAGTTGCTATATATCGTATCCAACTGGGCAAAAGATCCGTCCAATTAGGCAGCTATAATAGAATAACTAAACGTCGATCAGCTTAGTAACCATCACAACAACTTTCTACAGTGCGGCTGTACAAATCCTAGGGAACTAGTTAACTGTCTAGGATGACGGATCCGGATGGGTCAAAGATACAGAACACAATTGTTGGTTTTATTAACAGCAAAATATCCGCGATAACGAATAAAATCACTTTAATGTTCAAGTTCAAAGACACTACAATAAAAATCTATTTGTACTTATTTATTTAAGGTACAGCAACAGCTATATATTATTAACCGACTAATGTCCAAGATATTACAGTACTTTATCTCTGAAAACTTTAAAGCTATTTATCCGAATTGAAATACAGATGGCAAGTAAAACACAAATCTAACGTCCATCAACAAAACTTAATCGAAAACTGAAATAAAAGCAAATTTTTTTGAACAAAACTATTACGCAGTTTAGTTGAGACTTAAAAAATTGTAAACAATGACAATCATTAACATTTTGGTTCGCCAAAAAAACCTTCATTTCCATTTCGGGCTTTCCTTTTAAGGGCTAGTTTTCGTGATAAAATATAATCTTCTTAATAACAATTTTAATCGATATAGGCCCAAAAATAAAGAAATTTCATATAAAAGCAACCATTATTAGTTGTGTTTTAGTGGATCCTCACTTATTTTAGTATGTTTTATTCTCACTTCCATGTCCCATTTCATCCATTCAAAAGTAGATTTAATATCATTATTGCTTTCTTTTAATAATTAGGGTTTTAAAATAACGTAACTCCTATTCAAAAAACAATAATGAAGAGCTTCTTTAGTAAGCTAAAGTATGCCTGATTTTTGAAATAACGTTGCGCTAAATATTTTACAATTTTCGACGTACTACATGTGAAACAAAGTGAAAACAAATTAAAAGTTCACTAGGTCTTCCAGACTCGACGTTCCGAGAAAATAATATACACGAAAAGTAAAAGTGAGAGATTTAAAGGTGCCTTGAGCCAGGGCCCGATCTGGTTATTTCAGTCACACCGGGTATTTTCACCCTCTTTGTACTTAAACTAATAATTTGCAGTCCTAGTGATATTAGCCTGTAGTGACGTTTGAATAAATATATTGTATATAGATATATTATAAACAGAAATTATTTGTTTGTAAGTACTTGTTTAAATTATTAGGCTCTAAAACTACTGGACATTTTAAAAAAGTTACACCATATGCGGGAAAAGTTGCGTAAATCAATAATTATTGTTGAATATTTTAAATATGATTTAATTTTCCATTCCATCATTTGATATTAACTAGAATGCAAAAAGTATTAACCGAGTCTCTTTAAAAATACAAATGTAAATGAAAACCAAAATCACAAAACTTGAATTATATGAAAATACAAAAATAAATTGTAAATGTTGTTGATTTAACAAAAGGCAGTGATAATTTTAAATTCGGAGAACGCAATTAATTACAAACATTACTAGAATATTATATTAACGTTACTGAATTAAAATCCTTGGGCACACGGGACCCGCGTCCAGGGCAACCGACATTATATGAGACCGGAGAAGCCACAACTTTTTTGTTTTCACAATATGTGACCACAATTTCCTTTTATATATTGTTTAACTCCAAGAGCTGTTATTTATTTTAAAATAATAACTACAGGCAATTTTATTGTACCGATGTCTTACAGCTTTCCAATAAAGAGCCCTCGTCATGGTCTCTGGAGCTCCGATAAAAAGTAATAAGACTCCGTCTGTTAAATCTTCAATATAAATAACATATATAAGGCAATAAGTCATATTGTATCGTCTTAGATAATAAATGCTTTACGTGCTTTATTGTACCAATACATGTCTGTGGCATTTGAGTGGAGGAGGTGGAGTGCAACATCGTTAAGAGAAAAAAAAAACAAATCTATCATAGAATTGCCATCACGTCTTATTTTTTCTATGTGCGATACCACGAACAGTTTTTACAGCGTGACTTAAGCAAATAATGGTAAGATCAATTTATTTAACTATTCGATGCTTTCATAAAACTTTGAGGTTTGGATCGGACCAATTGTTATTATGTATTTGTACTAGAATCTGAAAACTAAATGACTTGATATTCAAAAAATAAATATTTTTATTAGTTGATTTGATGTCTAACTTTTAGTAGAACCAATAAATAAACACCCTTACCCTCTCACTTCGAATAACTGATGTTATTTGAACCATATTTTTCTTCAATAAATAAGTTGTTATTATAAAAGGTGACAAGGGATCGAATATTGAGTTATACAATAGTGGTATTTTTTCAGTAAAAAATGAATATAAAATAGCGTTAATTTTTAGAGGTCCTTTACCATTTTTTGGGGTTGGCCATCAGTTTGTCGGTTTGTTTTGAACCTTAAATAGATATAAAACACTATTATGTTTTATTTAGTTATAACAATTTATATATTACTTCAGCTATCAAGATGAAGTATTAAAAAACATGATATGGGTCTGTTTTTCATATAGACATAACTTGTTGTATCATGATGCATTTACCTACTTTATGAAAAATTTTCCGAGCCTTACACATACTTTTGTCAAAACTAACCTATAAAACTTTGCAAACGTAAAAAATTTTAAATTCTATTGCCCATGTCATTATTACAATTTGGAACGTTAATTTTTTAAGGAAGACTATTATTCTCGACGAGATTGTCAAGCTCAGTCATGCTACGCGTGCTGGTTTCGAATATCGAACAGGAATATGCATAAAGAATAAAAATACGCCTTTATTCTAAAAAGTACTTAGTAAATTAGCAATCTAAAACATTCAAGTATTATCACATTATATTATAGTTATTTAACTCCAGAGTTTATTAAATCAGTGTTAGCCATTTATCTCCCGAGTTTGTTAAATCAGGCACATTAGTAAGTAATTGCTTATCACTGCAGAATATGAAAAACTTATACATGAAAGCCTTGATATCGAAATGGTGAAATATTGGTTCCAGACTTTCCTTTGGTCCTTTTAGTTTATTTCGGACACTTAGCACCAACTCCTGTTTTATTTTGACACTAGCTTTCCACCAGTGGCTACGCCTGCGTGATCCTGTATTATAATTAAAACTTGCTTCTTGAATCACTTTATACCTATACTAGCTTTTGCCCGCTACTTTGCCCACATGGTCTAGTTTTAAACCCAGAAATGAGAAAATTCCATAAAAACATTCATCCCCTTATTTACTCCCTTAGGGGCCGTATTTTCAAAAATCCTCTCTTAATTCTCCTCCACACTCCTAAGGAATCTTCATTATAAATTTCAACTTTCTACGTTCAGTAGTTTCGGCTGTACATTGTCTGTCAGTCAGTCAGTCAGTTACTCAGTAACGCAAGAATTTTATATTGATATAAGATTTATGAAAACCGCATTAAAATTCATTGTGTAGTTTAAAATATCTATTCTAAATCGTTAATGTGATGTTACATGAAAAAACAAGTATAAAATAAATATCACAATCCATTAGATAATGTTTCTTATATTATTCTAAAAAGTAGATGCGCTAAATTAATGCGCAGTAACTATTCAAAATACATAACCTATGTTGAGACTTCAATTACATCAAACCCAAAGATTTTCTCGTCCTTCTTGAAGCATAAACGTGGGGCTGTAAATTAATTTCCTCCTAACTTGCATCTCAATCAAACTTCAGCTATTAAAAGGCCTGATATAACTAACAAATTTTTATGATAAAACCACCCCACCGTAAACGTTTTAAAATAAAACCCGAACGTTTTATCTAAAGTTTAGATGCGTCAGTTGCTCCTTTGTCTCACGAGAGCACATGTGTATGGACATTAATAACATATCAACC